GCTGCCGTCGCAGGCACCGCCGCGCCCCTTCCCTCGCCCGCTGGTCGATTCCCTCGCCACACGCGGAGCTAAACGCGCCAGCCAACAGGGGAAGGGAGGGGAAAAACCCTCCCAAACTCCCCCCGACGAAACCTAAGTCGTCCCCTCCTCCCACCTCCAACCACCTCGTAGAGATACAACATCAAGACCCGCAAAACATGTCATCTGGCTTCAGGGTGCAGGGTAACGTTAAGCGGTGCTTACTGACCTCCTCCGCTTCGTTCCCTCTCGGGGACTCCTTGGCACAGGCAAACGGTACTGTCGAGGCGGGAGTAGGAAATACGTGAAATGGGTTTGCTCAGAAGTAGTTCTGCAAGACCTAGTTTGGAAAGAAATGGAACAAGAGCTGAGCAATTCATGGCTGCTCTTCAGGATCTTCAGAACTTTGTAGATGTATACGCGGTATGCAAGAAAGTCGGGCAGCTAGCACATAGGGCAGCATTCTTAGTAATCAATAAAGGGTCTCATGTGGGTTTCTCCCAGAGGGGAAAGCAAACAGTGAAAATCTGACGTCTGTGTTAACGGCAGGAAAAAGTCAGAGGTCTACCAGACAAATGGGTTTGCAATCCAGCCTGGCAGGAACAAAGCATGGTAAAAAATAAAATTCTCTTCCCTAATCCAATTAAATAGAATCTTCTGTGTGACACGTATTGGGTATTTCGAAGCAAAATCCCAGCCTAAAAACTGGAAGTATTCACTAGAGGTAAGAATCTGCTTAGCAATGGCCAGGAAACAAAATCCTTTTCTGATATTTTATTTACTTTTTTTAAGCCTACCAATTAAAGTTGGGGGGTGGGAGGAACATTTCTTCCTTCCATGAATTTGTGCAGATTCAAGATTGAAGGACTAAAAGCTTTCTACCACCTGTTGGAGTGCCAACCACCTGGTGACGTGAGATGTGGTGGAAAAAACTTGCTGCAAAAACTGTCCTCTGAGTTCTAGGTTGCCATCAAAAATAGCCTAGTGTGTATGCAAGGGTGAAGGGGAGAGGGCTCTTCGCTGTGGTAATTGAACCCTGGGAGGGTAAAACAGAAGACGACAGGGAAAATATCTTTTCTGCTTAATGTGTGGGGGAAGACACTTCCCTGCACTAGGTTACACCATAAGCAGGAAAGGCCTCTGAAGAGCCTAGATAACAATACACAAGCTCAGCACAAGCATATTAATTCTCTTAATGGGACCAATCTTGTGTTGATCTCACTGCTACCACAGCATGTCACTAGTACAGTACCACAGCCAGCTAGTGCACAGGCAGCTAGAGCTACACAGCTCCCTTCAAGCTTTCCTCCAAGGCTCATTTCTCAGACATACCATTTCAGTACTGAATTTAAGGAATGGTTAAATCTGAGTCCCGCTTAAGGTCAAAACCCTGTGTAACCAATCATTTTAGCTGTGGGGGTGTTTTACTTGTTTTCCAAGTGAAACCAGCGCTGACAAGCCAAAGCAACCAGCAGGAGGTGCAAAGGGCCTTAGTCACCTCAGTGGAGCTTTCATTTTCTGCCTGCCCCTGCTTGCCTTCCTGGCATTACTCGTTTAACTGATGATCCTTCTGTTGAAAACAGAAAACACGAAGCTCAGTTACTTATTCCCCAGTACCAAATCTACGGCTTATTTCCCTTCGAGGATAACGTAAAAAAACACGCATAGTGACACAGTGTCTACCAGTTGCAGCAAAGAACATCTCTCACTTCTACTACAGCTTTAGCGTTGTTAATTACTACAGCTGTGAGTTGTGCTTTGTTTTCATTTTTCCCCAGAGCAGGCCTTTTCTTATCTTTTCTCTCCTTCTCTTACTGAAGGCATCCAACTATAGAAAACCAGGCTTAAGTACAGCTCAGCGGAAGAAAAGTGGTTTGAAACCTGAACTTACAGAAGAGCAAAAGCAGGAGATCAGAGAAGCTTTTGATTTGTTTGATACTGATGGATCTGGAAGCATTGATGTAAAAGAACTGAAGGTTTTTAAGCCTTTTTTTTTTCTTGGATGGAAATATCTTTACTTTCAAAGTTGTAGCGGTTAACTTTCCTAAGTTTGTCCAACCCTAACTTGCTCTATTTAAAATGATTTTGCTGTATGAACAACAGTAATGGCTTGCAGTTTTGACTGGATTTCGGGTTTACTACATGGTTAACTTGTTAACTCGAGAACGGTCTGGATGCATTACTTCAGTACTTTGCATTACTGTATCTCTAATACATTGATGGTAGGTCAGACAGATTGTTATATCTGAACTAAACAGCTCCTAAACAAACAGTACACATTTGTTAAGTCCCATAACTTAAGTCCCATTTGTGACTGGCAAAGGTCATTATTTCTAGGAACTGGATTTTTGTCCTTTTGGGATGAATTTCACAGTATGAAAGTACTCATTCCAGAAACCAAACACACTGATTTTGCACACATTCAGGTAAGATGCAACCACATTTTCATATATATAATCCACAAATTACTTCTTTTGTTATTTACAAAAGAACAAAGATCTGAGTTGCAGCTCAGGTAACGTGTGTGTGTAAATGCAGTAGTACAAGGAGAGGTTGGTCTCAGTTCTCCTCTTGCTACAATTTATCTGCCTCTGATTTTTTGTTTTGGTTTTCATAGCCTGCACCTTTTACCTTAACTGCCTCTGTGCCTTTCATTTCTCACATACGCAATCTCTGCATTTATTTCTGTGCACGTTACCTAAGAGCATGGATTACCTAAGGTTGGGGCTTACATAAAGATTTATTTGGAAGTACTTACACTTAGTTAAGGAGTGTGCGTTATACATGTGAAAATATAGTTCTTTCAGATGGAACAAAATGTTGCAGCATCAACCATTTAATTCTACATTTTTCTTTTTTTAAAATTATTTCCAAAATGTGGATATTTTACAATAGGAAGAGTTCCCCTTTGAATGATGAAATGGAACGTTTTCAGTCATCCTGTAACAATGCATTGGTCAGACAACACACTTAAGCTAAATATTAAGTTTTTGGTGATTTGGCATTTTCCAGTAGAAAACTGTTTTGGGAAGAAAATTTCTGCCCGATATTAACTATTGTTTTCCACTGGAGCATCATACAGTAGTGCTTCACTTTTGTTCTGTAAAACTGAGATTTGACTGAGATTTGCTTTCCTTGTCTTTGACTAGCGCAGCACTCGGTATTTGATGATTTTTCGAGTATTGTCACTTCCCCCCTGCCCCTAACATGTTACCGAGGAGTGCCAAGAGTTAGGCATGGGGATTTTGTCCGTGTACCAGATTGTATAAGTTATCTGCATGTAATTCTGCACCCATCAAAATTAATAGACATTCTGCGCTAAATTTCCAAAGCGGTGAGATCACATCCCTGGTCTCCAACCTCCCTTGAAGTTCCATTTTAGTAATCCAGTTCCTTTAGGAACAACGTTCCTATACCTATAGTCCAGAAACGTAGATTGGAATGGTAATTATGTAAACCTAACTCAGACACGAAAAGTTTCTGTTAGTTTCAAAAAGAAAAATTCCATGTTTTGTTTGGATCCAAAGAGAAAATATGGCTGAGTCTGAAGAATACCAGACCTATGCTATTACTGATGGGAAACATGAAATAAGCAAGTAAGAAGCTTCAGGCTATTTTCTTTGCCCTGAGTTATTACTACAGTTTTGGAAAAGAAAATTAAATAAGCTGTAATACAACTAGTATCACTAGAATTCTGATGGCGTCCTAACAGAACTGCTTTTCGGTGCAGGTTGCAATGCGTGCTTTAGGCTTTGAGCCGAAGAAGGAAGAAATTAAGAAAATGATAGCAGATATTGACAAAGAAGGAAGTGGCACCATTGACTTCGAAGACTTCTTGGCAATGATGACACAAAAAATGGTAGCAATTAAAAAAAATCATGTGACAGCATAAAAATACTGAAAAGGGATATCTCAGTAGCAGGTGTTTTATAATTAACTTTTTTTTTTTTAAATCTTGTTTTAGAGTGAGAAGGATTCAAAAGAAGAAATACTGAAAGCTTTCAGATTATTTGATGATGATGGCACAGGGAAGATTTCATTCAAAAACTTGAAGCGAGTTGCCAAGGAGCTGGGAGAAAATTTAACAGATGAAGAACTTCAGGTAATACTTACTAGAGATTTCCTAATGGGCATGGACCAATTCTGTAGCTCTTATAGCTTCAGGGAAAAATCTATGCCTACCCAAGAAGGGCTAAGAGGTTAGAAGTGTGAAAAGCAATAGACCACGTAATTATATTTTCATATGAAGTGTTGCTGATTTGTTGTTTTCTAATAAATGGGAAGGTCTTGTGTTTTGGGTCAAGCTCAGTGCCTGATCAGATGTGCAATCCTTTTGTAGGAAATGATTGATGAAGCTGATCGAGATGGAGACGGAGAAGTAAATGAGCAAGAATTTTTGAGAATCATGAAGAAAACTAGCTTATATTAGTGGTTGTTGCCTTGCTTTACAGCTGCTCCTAAAGGTGACCTGGAAAAGACTTAAAAACAGGACTGCTGTCTCTTACATTTTCTATGACATGAAAAGAAAGCCTGAAAGGACAGATTTTTGGTTCATTCTTCCTTTCCAGAAATTTTAATTAGAGAAGTGGGGGGCTTCAATACCCAGAAGTACTGTTGAAATGAGATATTGCAGGAATGAGGGGTAAGGATGAACCTGCAAGACAGGGTCCTCCTTTCTGTTTTAATGACAATTTTGGTGATTGTCATTTTGGATAGAGTACTGTGTTTTAACTAAAAGTCATTTCACTTGAGACACAGTGATTCCCGCTGCTTCTGGAAAAGGCCCGTTTTGACTTTCTTAAGGCTACCTAATAAAGGAGGTCAGCTTATAATGTCTTCTATATAATCTTAAGGAATTAAGGTACAAGCACAGTATTTTTATTCCTTTTAAGTCTTCTGGGTCATCTTTTGGTATCTGCCACCTTAGTTTATTTCCATGAACAACTCTAAAAATCAGTTGCATATTTGTATTTTTTTCTGTATGAAGCACTGCATTCTCAGGGCAAGTTTTTTGGACCTGATAGGAAACAAATGCAGATGACTAGATATAGTCCTTCATTCAGAGCTGCTTGCCATCTTTAGATGTTCTTTTGTTAAACAATTCCATGATCATTTGAAACCTGGTTTATTTGAATCTAGTCTGCTGGGATTATCAACGTTTACTGTATAACCAGGCAATGTCTTGTACCATTGTACTTATTCCCAAGACATTACAGAGTTGTTACTATGTTATTATTTTAAGTACATAAGGAAAGCTCAGTGCTATGACTCTCTACGGTAAATTCTGTCTTTGGTTATTTACAGTCAAATTACAGGGACAACTTCCATCTGAAATGGAAAAAATGATTTGTTACCTTGGACAGCTGGGAAACACTGAATGTTTGTAGGTCCATCCGATTCAAATTCATTTCATGCATCACAGCTGTTGAGTTTTGGGGGGAGTATTTTCCTTTTCTTGAGTATTTTCTCACACGTACTGTCAACTGTGGACTTAGTGGACAGACACACTTCCTTCCGTATTTTGGACCCCTGGTTCACGATTAGACAGTTGGCTTCAAACTGCAGGGAAAGCGTACAGTCCTAAACTGTCTCTCTCTAGTAAGTTTATTACTGCTGACGTTGAAATGGCAACTAGGTCAGAAGAGGGTTCAGTGGGATGGGGAGAGAAAGAACAGTATTTCACCAAGATCCTTCTCCAAACAGCTTCTGCTGCTTCCCAGGCCCTAATGAGGTTTGTCTCTGTAAAACAGCATAGAGGAAAGGAAGAGACCAGCTCCTTGATTAGCAGCTTGTTACAGCTGTGTCAGCTCCTCATGAGCTGCAAGGGCCCACCCAGCAGGGGGAGAATTAGTCTCAGCAGCAGAAAGGAGACCTGCTCGTTTTGTATCTGCTCAGTGTGAAGATGCGGAGCTGGCACGTTCTGCTCAAGCCCTCCTCATTTTGTCCCCTGAACTGCTCACTCTGAATAGACCTTCTCTAATTAGCACAGAAGTAGCTCAAACCCACAGGAGAACAGAGGTTGCATAGTATCCTGGGAAACTCGGATCTGTGAAGCCCATTAACATCTTCAGTGCCAGTAGGTGTAGCCCACAATACCGTAAGCTTTTTAAAATGTGTATTAACTTTGTATAGTGTGAAATAAAATTGTTTTGCAAGTTTATGACTCTGACTCTGTGTATTTACAATGAAAGCTCACTATAATTTTCAAAGAATCATTTACAACTGTTAATGGTTCACCAACTACCTTTTATCTTTCATTCATCTTTTCTTTCTAAGAGAGAAATTCCTAGGTGCAGTAGTCTATCACATAATTCTTCTCCCTCTTCCACTATGCTGATTAAAAGTTTCTAGTACTAACCACTTACATTCAGAAAGGGAAATTTGAAGTTTTGGTAGGTTATGGGGAATCCCAGAGCCTATTAAGAGTGACTGTAGTTTTTTTAATGCTGCCACAGGAAGAGCTTAATGACTGTTGTTTACCTATGATGCATGTCACCTCTCTTCCTGTTCTAATCCCATTACTTAATAGTTGAAGGTAGGAAAAAGATACACAGTCATACTAAATGATGATGAAAATTTTATTTCTGGCTTGCTCATGAATGTCTTTAAGTCTGGAATTTCAGGCAGTAACTGAATTAGCACTTAATTTGCAAACGTTAACGTAACAGAACAAGCATTGCATGCTGTTTTAGTTCGCATTATAGCTCAAGGGATATTTTGCCCCTTCTTCAACCACAGACACCAAGCGTGGCGACTAACAAACAGCAGCAGCGACAGCAGCCTAAAAAAGCAGTGCTGTGGTTCTGTGTGAAATATTTTCAACATCTTTGTGAATCTATCCTGCTCCTTCAAGAGTTTTATTGTTTCCATTTCTATACATGGTGGAGGAGTATTGTAGCCTAACTGAAGCCAATGACACAACTCAGAGTTAGGTTTGCATGGGAAACAGGCGCTGAACTGCCCGTTTGGGAACTTCACCATTTTACTGGGCTAGAAACTGACTCAGCTCAGTGAATGAGGAACTTACCAGCGGATGACTTCTGGGCTCTGTTCTAGTGACTACTCAAGTAGTTTACCCTAAATTGAGCAGTTTCACCAGAGGAGAGAGATTACTTGCCCCCCTCTCCTACCCTTGCACACAGCATATTTTCAAGAATAGCATGAAACATAAGGGCTGAGGCACTTCTAGGAGACTTGGATTCATCTCCTGTGCACTAAAGCACTGAAAAGGAGGCAAAACAGTAACGGGGTGTCTTGCCTCCAGCTGCCTGCTGCTGATGCCTTGCAGGAAAAGACTCATCCCTCAGGCAGCTGAACCCAAGAGAGTTCACCACTGCAACTGCCTCCCCTCAGCCTAGAGACAGGCTCTAGATCCTGAAGGCAGGGCCTAGGTCCTGCCCCTGTCACAGTGCTCCCCATGGACTGGCCAGGGCTGCCTTGGGGCAGGGGGGAGGCGGCTCTCAGACCCATTGCTTGCATCCCCTTTCCCATCCATGTCATCGGGGAGGCTGGCTGCTTACCTGGCTATCGCAAATTCTGCTCCGATGGCTAAAATCCATCACAATACGTACATCCAGTTGGACCCTTCCTCCCGTGATGTCAGTGAAGCCAGGTTTTCGGTTTGAGTGTTCACGCTGGTTGGCTACTGTACAAAAAGCAAAGTGGAACTGTAATTTATTTTTGACCTAAATATGAAAGCGTTACTAAGGGACAATAGCTGTTTGGGAGATAACGTTGCAAATAACTTTCAATGAAAAGTGTTTTAAAATGAAAGTGCACTACGCTCATAACAAAGTGCATAAAATAATTTGAGTTAAAAAAAAAAAAAGTCTCTCACGTTACATTCCAAAACATGCTAACTGCATGGCTATTTTAAATTAACCTTTGCTGTTCTCTCCACTGTGCAACTTAAAATTCTTTGTTTTTTTAATCTCACAGCCTTTTTGACCTGCCAGTCCCCCAGTAAAACAAATCTTCAGTTGGCTTTGGAATAACAAACAAAAGGTTACTATCTAGTTTGCATAGATGTTATTACTTAATCCAAGCTGGCAGCCTGAAGATACTGGACTGTTGTGCTTTCTCACCACATCACAGTGGAAAGTGGATAAAGGCAGCATTCTTGAAAGGCAGCATTCACTTTTTGCAGTCATACCTGTGCTGAATAAAAATGGAAAATAGCATGCTGGCCAGGCACATATGATTGCAAAAGATAGGAGCACTGCTTCTCATTACCTGAGGCGCTCTTCTAGTTAACTGGCAATGAGTGATAGGCTCTCGCTTCGTTATGCGAATGAGATTTCAGAGCAAAAAACATCGGGTCAATTTCTAACACTGGAGAAAAAACAATAGCTTCTTTTCAGTTAACCCTAATCTTGATTGGTATTTAAGGTATGATAGAGGAGGCAAGGAATTAAAAAAAAAACATTTGAGATTAAAATCATTTAGAGTTTCGTAGAATAACTCCTGCGTCCTGCAAACTGTCTGGTGAAGTCACATCACGTATTTGAAATGCTAAGAATTCATTCCCTAGGAACCTCCTTATCGAGTTCATGCAAGTCGAACACTGCCACAGTAAATTTGCGTTTAAAAACCCCTGAGTAGGATAAGTGTATTTTGAGAAAGAGTCAGGCAGTAGAAAGTGCTCTGGGCCAGACTTCTGTATTGCCGTATTCGACACATGGAAACATTGGCAAAATACGCTTCCTGCCATGGCTTACATCCTTCTTTCAACCCAACAAAAAGTTTGACAGTGACATACTGCTAGCACTTATTTCATGCACTGGCTGGTGCTTTTGGCAAGCTCTGCAAGTGTATTGGCGTGTTATGGTGCCTCGAGAGGGTGCATTTTCACAGATACTCATTCTCCCGAAATATCAACGTCAAAGCCAAACCAGGACTGTTGAGACTGTATCCAGGCATCATTGCCATCAGCCCTTATGCTCACTCATAACTTAATGGTCTCCCTGCTACGCTTTGTTTTAAAATTACCTTTTTTCCTCTACACAGATAAATACAAATGAAGACGAGAAAAAAAACGATCCTGAGACGCTTCAAGACGTGAGGTTTGTTTCAAAACCTAGCTACATGTGCCAATAGAAACTAGCCGCAGCTACTTGTCGCATTTTACAAGGCTCAGGCATGAGTCAATAATCAGCCTGCTAAGGATGTTCCTCAGAGATCCCTCATGCCGAGGGCAGAGGCAAGCACAACCTGCACGCCTCCTGGCGCGGGCAGCCAAACTGCTTGGGCACCACACTAGGATCGTCCCTGGCATTGGAGGGAGGAACTCCTATGAAGGTAATTCTACAGTGATCATTTTCTTTTTGCCATACGCAGATAGCGTAGTTGTGAACGGACAGTCAAAACCAAATACAAATACTGTTATGCTGAATCCCAGATAGATTGGCCATAGGCTTATCTGAATTGTTCCAGTGAACAGAAGGCCAGGGCTGCCTCTTCTCTACAACCCAAAGTTATTGTGAAAGTCTCAGTTGAGTAGGCATAAAATTCTTATTTCAGTGGGTGTTTCACACTCTGCTTAACTACAGGATACAATCCTCAATTTTTTCCCACTAAGACGTACAACTCCTTTCATTTCTCTCTTCCTCACATGAGGGAATAAAGAATGGATAGAGCTGAGAGCGTGACACAGTTTCGCTAGAGGGCATCGAGTTACTAACGTGCAAGATCTGTCATGCTTATTTCCCTCCTCTGTGGCTTTTAACGACAATCAAAAATAGGCTAACAAACACCATTCAACTGGGGCTTGAAATATGCGGTTGGATACAGAAATTAAAAAACTTTTCACACAACTCCAGTGCAAAATGCTATAATTATTAGTTGGTTGTTCAAAGCTAAACCCCCAAACCACACTTTCTGAAACTCCCACTCTGTATCAGTAGTGGCAGACATGCTCTCAGGGGAGCAGAGAGCTGAACTTGCCTTTCATACAGTCCCACTGAGCACTCTGACCACTGGCCTAGAGGCTTGTTTTCTCTCTCTCTTGGAATATTTCTATCAAATGGAACCACTTCATGCAGAGAGACTGAGCCAAAGCCTTTGCAGGATGCTTACGGCCCTCTCTTGGGATGTGGGAAAGCTGGAATCGCGGCCTTGCTTTGAATCAAGAGGAACAAGCATTTGAGAACTAGACTCAAGGTGAGTATGCCAACCTTTGGGAGACTGTCTACAAGGTAAAGAATGTGTCTTGTTGTAATGGCCTTCTGGGATGGGGAATGACCCAAAAAATAGGTTTTCAGGAAACCAGCTGGCCAAAACTCACAAGCAAGATAGGACACCTGCATTGATGTGAAGGCAGCTCCAGACTTTCAGGGGTTTGACAGCTTTTACGTAGGTCTAGTGCAAGATAGAGGACCTGACAAATCTGACACTCCAAAAGCTAACTTATATGTGCGCAACTCCTTAGGGAACACAGAGAGGGGTGTCCAAGAGCCATGGTCCAAGACTTATTGCTGCTGAGTTGGGAGCCCAGCAGAGTGGGCTGATAGGAAACGTGCTCCCGTGCAGTACACCAGGAGACCGCGCATGAATGGTTCAGGCTCTATAGTAAATGGTAGGTACCATGACATCTACCTTTAGGTACCTCAGTCTTTTTTTAAACCTTTGCTCTTTGATGATTTCAGAGATCCATTGGAGTGGGGTTAGAGACCTAAAAATATAGGTCTCAACCTCTTTGGAGGTCTGGCTGCCAACAATTACTAAACTTGAAATTACTGAAGTCATTTCTCGTTGCTCTGAATGAGATTCGATATCCTGAATGAGAACAAAGCACAACTGTTACTTGAGAGATAATATTATAAAACAATATTGTCAAACCTGAACTGCAAATGTGTGAAATTCTGGGCACAACTGTTACAGTTGTGCCCATGTATTTTATCACTTCTCACCAACCGCATGTTTGATGTGTGCACATACACACACAGGGTATATGCACATGCAAATCTAGCAGTCTTTGTGACTATTCAAGTTTTGTGTACTTTTGACATGCAAAAAGTACAAATGGGAGCATATATTTAGACACTTCACCTGGGAGGAGGGTGGATTTGCCGTAACGTTTTAGTCTCAAATAGGATCGCGCCTGTGCACTGTGGGACTGTTGTGGAGCAGAAATCTAGCCCTTATTTCCCTCAAGTGAAAGTC